AATTAAATAAATAGACATGTTATTTAAAAAAAAACTTTGAAACATTATTTCAAAAAACTGTCTACATCCCAGTTTGATACCAATGATGCACCCATCACTATGACTATATAGTTCACGTTTCTTTTTTCTTAATCATGGAATCCAAGCTTCACAGACTGTTTCTATAGGGAATAAAAAGAAGATGATGCCAAAATTTGAAACATAGATAATAATTTCTAAGAAAGACTTTAATTTACTGAAAATGAAATACAAAGTATGATTTGCCATAAAAAGCAACTGACCTTAAGTATAGATAAGTGGATTGCTAGAGAATTTTGAGATGGCATTTATAACTGTGTCTACTGAAAAATAATCTTCATGTGTATAGAATAATGACCTATGGTCAGGCTTTTAGGTTTAGGTTATAAAACACTCTCTATACATGCACTTTTATTGAGCGTTCTCTTCCCAAGACAGCAGGAAAGAAATTTTTCTTTACTATCACAATCTTTCAACTTTAAGATCTAAGTTTCTCTTACATTCAACCCTCTCATTTAAACTCAGTCTTGAGATCATGGATTTCTGTCCATGTAAACTTTGACTTCTGGCTGCATATTCAGAAAACTCCAGAGCCAGAAGTCTCAGTGATCAGTTGGTCAAACCTAGCTCACTCTGTACTAAAGAAGAACGAAAACCAAAGAAATTGTTAAAAAACTTTCAAATTAGAGTAGCTGGCATTGGTGGCACAGTGGGTTAAGCAGGCGTTAAGGGGCCACCTGCAATGCTGGCATCCCACATTGGAGGGCTTTTTGAGTCCTGGCTACTGTGCTTCTGATCCAACTCCCTGCTAATGAATGTGAGAAAACAGTGAAGATGGCCCAAGTGCTTGGGCTTCTGCCATCCACCTGGGAAACCTGGATGGAGATCCCAGCTCTTGGCTTCAGCCTGGCTCAGCCATTTAGGGAATAAATTAACAGATGGAAGAGCTCTTTCTGTATCTGTATCTCCCTGTCTCTTTCACTCTGCCTTTCAAATAAGTAAATAAATCTTGAAAAAAACCTTACAAATTAAGGTAACATTATAACTAAACCCCAAATCTCAAATCTTCTATATGTTATTATGTCTTGATTTTTGAAGATAAGTTCTGAGTTGTACAATATGCTAAAGAGTAGTGGAATTTCAAACAATAAAAGGGTCTGGTTGAATAAACTGCTCCTACTAAATCACTAGTAATTTCTTCAAGTTCAAATTCATCAGCAGACTTGGGATATTTGTAAAGAAAAAAGAACAGGGAATATTCATGATATTTCTAAATTTCTAATGAATGCTTTCACTTTCTTGGGCTTGTGATGGGTGTGGTACTTGTGTAGATTATAAAACACTTTGCTTTTCTTTGTTCCCCACACCTCCCTAGAGCTTAAACACAGATTTGAACCAGTCATTATAACTAAAGATGCTACAAGATAGGAACAGGAGATCCAGAATTATTTCTTTATCTTGTTTGAAGAGCAGAGAGAAAGAGACAAGCAGACAGAGAGATCTTTTATCAGCTGTTTATTATTCAAATGCCCACAACAGTTTGGACTGGGCCAGGGGAAAGCAGGAGCCAGGAATTATCAAGGACCCAACTACTCGAGCCATCACTCACTGCTTCCCAGGGTGTGCATTAGCAGGAAGCTGGAATGGACAGAAGAGCAAGGACTCCAACTCAGGCACTCCAATATGGGAGGAGGGTATCAACAGTGGCAGCTTAACCATAGGATCAAACGTTGGCCCCCTCTTAGATTCTCTGTCAAAAATACTTGATGAAAGAAGTAGTTACATTAAGTGTTTTACTATGAAACTTAAAAACAACACTACTAGTAGAACAATACCCTATACCTTGTGCGGTTGTGTGAGTGCAGCCTGTTGAAATCCTTGCTTAGTGTATACTAAGTTGATCTTCTGTATGTGAAGGTAATTGAAAATGAAACTCAATGAAGGGCGGGATGGGAGAGGGAGTAGGAGAGGGGAGGGCCATGGGAGGGAGGGAAGTTGGGGGGGGAAGCCACAACAATGCAAAAGTTGCACTTTGTAAATTCACATTAATTAAATAAAAAAAAAAAAAAAGGGAATGTATCACCAGGGATAAAAAAAAAAAAAAAAAAAAGAGCCTAGGGTGATTACTGACGCCATAAACAAGAGTGTCAATTTGTTAAGTCAACAACAGGAGTCACTGTGCACTTACTCCTCATGTAGGATCTCTGTCCTTAATGTGTTGTACAATGTGAATTAATGCTATTACTAGTACTCAAACAGTACTTTACACTTTATGTTTCTGTGTGGGTGCAAACTGTTGAAATCTTTACTTTTTTTTTTTTTTTTTGACAGGCAGAGTGGACAGTGAGAGAGAGAGACAGAGAGAAAGGTCTTCCTTTGCCGTTGGTTCACCCTCCAATGGCCGCCGCGGCTGGCGCGCTGCGACCTGCGTACCACGCTGATCCGATGGCAGGAGCCAGGTTCTTATCCTGGTCTCCCATGGGGTGCAGGGCCCAAGTACTTGGGCCATCCTCCTCTGCACTTCCCTGGCCACAGCAGAGAGCTGGCCTGGAAGAGGGGCAACCGGGACAGAATCCGCCGCCCTGACTGGGACTAGAACCCGGTGTGCCGGCGCCGCAAGGTGGAGGATTAGCCTAGTGAGGCGTGGCGCCGGCAACACATGTGTTCTAATTGTGAGATTCCAGTATCAGTCACAAATGTTCTTCAAATCAACAGCGAGTTTGGTGTGATTGTTATACTGGATCTGACCAGGAGAGTTACGTTTTGGATATTTGAGATCGAAAAAAAAAAGTTAACGTATAGTTTGCATGAAACGTCTTTTGGTCAAGGTGTAGATCAGGGAAGCCTTTGTTCTGTGGTGATGACAAGGTGTAGGGTGCCTGTGCACACAGAGGAGGTAGGTTAGGTTGGCTCTTCCTGCTCCAATGAGCTGAATGAAGGGTAAAACAAATACAGTGGATCTTCAAAAATTTCACAGAAAACACATGATGACGGCCAGCACTGTGGCGCGGCAGGTTAAGCCACAGCCTGTGATTCCAGCATCTCATATGTGCACCAGTTTGTATTTGGCTGTTTTACTTCCAATCCAGCTCCCTAATAATGTACCTGGGAAAGCAGCAGAGGACGGCCCACATCCTGGGGCCCTTGCATCCATTTGAGAAACCTGGATAGAATTCAAGGCTTCTGGCTTTGGCCTGGCCCAACCCCGGCCATTGTGGCCATTTGGGGAGTAAACTAGCAGATGAAGATCTCTCCCTGCCCTCATCCTGCCCCATGTTATTCTGCCTTTAAAATAAATAACAAATCTTTAAAAGCAAAATAGGGGTGAACATCATGGTGCAGCAGGTTAAGTTGCCACCTGCAATGCCAGCATCCTATTTGGGCACCACTCATGTCCTAGCTGCTCTACTTGTGATCCAGTTCCCTATTGATGACCTGGGAAAGCACCAGAAGATAGTCCAAGAGGTTGACCCTGCTGCCCATGAGGGAGAACCAGATGAAGCTCCTGGCTTTGAACTGGCCCAGCTCTGGTCCTTGTAGTCATTTGCAGAGTGAACCAGCGGGTGGAAGATCTCTCCCTGTTTCTCCCTCTGTAACTGTGCCTTTCAAACAAATAAATAAATCTTTAAAAAGAGACAGAAAATTCATATTGTGAAAAAATTATGCATAGATTTAAATTTTCTGCTCCAAAGATAAACATATTTTTATGTCCATTTCCCCCCAAACTTTCTGAAATATCTCATATGAAACTGCACTAGTCATTAACAGGGTAGAGATAATTTTTAGGATCAGAAACTCAAATTTTAAATTAACAACTACAAAGTTGTTTATGTTTTTAAATATACTAAAGGACTTTTACTCAAAAAGTAAAAAATGCATTAAGCACTTTTTCTTAGCTATTTTGTCCTTAAAATGTTAGGTTTGGTGCTGGCGCTGTGGCGCAGGTTAATCTTCCACCTGCGGCGCTGGTATCTCATATGGGTGCCGGTTCCAGTCCCGGCTGCTCTTCTGATCCAGCTCTCTGCCATGGCCTGGGAAAGCAGTGGATGACGACCCAAGCACTTGGGGCCCTGCACCCGCATGGGACACCCAGAAGAAGTTCCTGACTTGGGGAGTGAACCAGCAGGCAGAAGGCCTTTGTTTCTGTCTCTTCCTCTCTCTGTCTGTAACTCTACCTCTCAAATAAATAAATAAACAAAATCTTTTAAAAAATAAATAAATAAAATGTTAGGTTCAATCAAGGTTCAAGCACATTTCTAAGTAGAAAAGGGTTATACATGTGGGCCACAGGTGGACTGGGGTCTTAGAAGGAGACAGTAATAGTAACAGCAGGAAGAAATCAAAGTAAACAACCACTTTAAATAAAGGGAAGGAAGGGGGCAGAAAGACAATACAAAATCAATGTTCAATGTACAGACCCTCTCTCCACATATATGGATCAAATGTTCATTCTTGTTTTGTTTCATTCAAAAGACTTTCCTTGCAATCCTCATTTTTATAGGATGGTAGCATCAAAGTACTCTTAAGAAATACTAACTAGGGCCAGCACTTTGGTGTAGTGGGCTAAGCCTCCACCTGCAGTGCCGGGATCTCATATTGGCACTGGTTCGTGTCCCAGATGCTACACTTCCAATCTAGCTCTATGTTATAGCCTGGGAAAGCAGCAGAAGATGGCCCAAGTGCTTGGGATCCTGCACCAGCATGGGAAACCCAGAAGAAACTCTTGGCTCCTGGCTTTGGATAGGCTCAGCTCTGGCCATTGCAGTCATCTGGGGAGTAAACCAGTGGATGGAAGATCTGTCTCTCCCTCCCTCCGTCTGTGGCTCTACCTCTCAAATACATAAACAAAATCTTAAAAAAATACTAACTTGAATCACCCCAATTTGCACTCCACAGATATAATTTAAAAGAAACATTGATAGATTTGGGGGTCTAAAATGGAGAGTTCCATAACATAGTTTAGATAACTTTTGAAGACTCACCTGTAGGTTTAACTGAATAAAACCCAATGGCCTCTCCTTTCTTCCACAGAATCTTAGCATAATCAGTACGGCTATGACACAGAAATGGGATCTCATTTCTCTCCATTTCCTGTTTTCTATAAATAATTCGATTCAGAACATATAGAACCACTCTCTCCCCAAGAGTGCTCACCTACAAAGAGAATCAAACACCAGACACAAGTTATAACATGGATCAGTTAGAAGATGCTATTTACCTTGCTCCATGCTCCCACACCTTATACTAGCATTCAAGATACTTCAACTATATTCAAAATCATTTCTAAAGCATCGGATTAACACAGATATGAGACAAATCATTCATATCAATAGCAATTCCTTTCCATAGACATTTTTGCACGGAACACTGCTTCTCAATGGAAAACGAGGAAAAACAAGTTCCCAATGCATGGTTCACCCAGCATCTCTTTCAGCATCAAGTCTCCTTCCTGCTTCCAGCTGCCCAGATTCAAGGTCTTCCAACCCCAACTGCAGCCCCTCTGTGTATACCGTCTTAACTCATTTTTACTCTATGCTTGACTTCACATTAAAAAAAAAAATCTTGGTGTTATCCCCTAAAGACGTAAAAGAACAATTACTTCAGTTGATGAGGGCAGTCATATTATGCTCTTAGGAAAGGAATCTGTCTCATCTTTTCCAGGTAAAACGTTCATTTAACCACCCTGCCCTCTGTTGACGACCCTGGGAGAAATCCCCACTTTCTTTTATTTTTTTTTTTTTTTTTAAATTTTTTATTTATTTATTTATTTTTTTTTTAACTTTTATATAATGAATATAAATTTCCAAAGTACGATTTATGGATTACAAATGGGTTTCCCCCCCATACCGTCCCTCCCACCCACAACCCTCCCCTTTCCCACTCCCTCTCCCCTTCCATT